GGTTGGGTCATGGAAGGGAAGAAATTAAGAGGCAGACAAAAGTTTAGGGGTGCTCACCTCCTCCATGAAGCCAGGTCTGAGCAGGAGAGAGAGAGCATGCCTTCCTACACCAACTTATAGAGTCTCCGGGCATGCAAGGCCCCCTGATCACAGGTACAGGTTACATATGTGACAAAGTGGGCATATCGTAATCCTGGGGGGTCCCCGAGTTCATTGGGGGAGTAACCTAACACCAGTGCTGGGGGCAGGTAAGGGGGAGTGACTGTCCCCTGAGCAGGGAGAGCAGGAGCTCTAGAGGTCAAGCTTCCTGCCAGAGAGCAATCAGCCATGTGCTTGGAAGAGGGGGCTTGAAGGCCGCACTTTGGTGGGAGGATATGGTGGGGAATGCTTTTTAATGATGAGAATATGATTGGGACTCATCTCACAAGTGTAAAGGCCTCCCTCCACCCAGAGTGCTGGCCTCCCAGGCTTCTTAATTAGGAGAATAAAGCAGTTGTCCGCATACACTCTCTCCCAGCTCAACACGGAACACGGAGGAGCTGGGTCAGCGTCCTTGGCTAGCCGGCTTCTGTCTCAATGCCCATGGCCTGGCCCCTAGTGGACACTCAGAAAACATGCGGATGGGTGCTGGTCAGTAGGATGGGCGGATCCTGCAAGGACAGGGCTGGGCTTGAAGCCTTCCCCTCTCTGTGTGGGGGTGGGGTAGCCGAACAGTTCAGGAGGCACTGCCCCAGCCAGTCTCCAGCACAACGGGGGCTAGATTAGGCAGGGGATCTCTGAGGGCAGGGCTGGGCCCCGTCCCCCCACCTCCTCTTCTCTAGGGCTCCAGAGGTGACGTGTGCAGAGCCTTGGAGGGGGTGAGCTCCCTCCCAGTAAGCAGAGCCCTCATGGCCATTGTCAAGGTCCCAGGGAAAATCATTCCTGTGTTGGGTGGGGCTTGGAGAGGGGTGCTATCAGCCCAGCCCAGGTGGTCCTCTGGATTTGGGGATGTTCTCATCCAGGGTGGCCTGGGTCAGGTGGAAGGTTACCCTTCTTGAGGGAGGCCCTGTCCCAGATGGCTCATCTCAGGTCCTCGCCACCAGGTACCACCCTTAGGTTACCCTCTGGGAGCCCATCTTAGGGTGACAAGTCTCAGATAAGAGGACCAAGGTGGCCCACCTGTCCAGCTCCCCTGTGGCAGACTCCAGAGACCTCCGATGTGACTGGGCAGGCCACCTCCTCCCTCTTCGGCCTCCTCCTCCGACAGCCTCTGCTTGTCTGCCTTCTCTCCCCGCCCTCCCGGCCCCCTCAGGAATGATCCAGGCTCTCGGCGGCTTCTTCTCCTACTTTGTGATCCTGGCAGAAAACGGCTTCTTGCCCAGCAACCTGGTGGGCATCCGGCTGAATTGGGATGACCGCACCGTCAATGACCTGGAGGACAGCTATGGGCAGCAGTGGGTGAGTGGGGCCCCCAGCTGCCAGGGAGCCTCAGAACCAGGGGCCAGGCCCGGAGGAAGAGCCCAGGGTCCAGTGGTGCTGGGAACAGGAGTGGATGTTCTTGTCGGCCAGAAAGCCAGATGTCAGAATTCGGGGCAGCAGCTTCAGGAGGCAAGCTCTCTCTCCGCCAGCTTTGGGGGGAAGGTCCTTGTCTCTCTGGGCTGTGTTCCTCGGTGTCTTGGTGAGTTTCCTGGTGGGGCACTTGTCCCCATGCCATTGACACAAACCGTCGTGGCTCGGCAGGAAGTGAATGTAGCACGGCTTCACCGACACAACAAATGGGGTGGCATCCACAGGGATAGGGTTTAGGATCCCAGTGCTTATTTAGGGAACACACAGCTCAACACAGAACACGGAGGAGCTGGGTCAGCGTCTTGGCTGGCCGGCTTATGGCCAAATGCCCATGGCCTGGCCCATAGTGGACAGTCAGAAAACATGCAGGTGGGTGGTGGTGACCAGGAGGGGGTGGCCCCTTGCAAGGACGGGGCTAGGGATGCCCCAGGTTTTGTGCTTCATCTGTCCCAGGGGCAGCAGCAAAGCCCTCTGCATGCTCACCTCCTACTGGGCCCACCCCATGCACTGCCCAGCCCATGTGGCCCTCAGAACCCACCACCAGGCCGGGGCTTCTCTTTCCTGTCTGCCTCCGCACCCACACCCAGGGCTGCGGGCGGGCGCAGACTTGCCCTCTGGGCTGTCACCCGTCAATTCCTGCCTGGGCTGCGAGGCCCTGCTGATCACAGACGGACGGACGGACGGACGGGACTGTCTCTGTGCCACTCAGTGGGGGAAATGGTTAAGGCCCCTTGTTGTGTCTGTCTTTCCATGGAGCCACTGGGTGGGACCAACAGCCGTGCCCTTGGCTGCCAATGGGGAGATCACAGGTTCAAGTCCCCCCCCTCCCAGAAGCCAGCTGAGCTGCTGCTCCTCGGCCCTCCAGGGGGTGCCTCAAAATGTTTGTGGGGGGAAAAACCCACGAGCTTCTGGTTCCGTTTCTCCACCAACTTTTGGAAGTCCCCCCACCCCTCACAGTGGATGGTGTCGGAAGCGGCTGAGTTTGGGTGGTGGACAGTGGCAGAAGGCAAGCACCTCAGAAAGAGACGGCTTGCCTTTGCCCTGAGTCACCCAGGGGCGGGGGTGACCCCGACACCCCAGGGGTGTCCCCCGGAGGAGGGCCAGGAGGAGGGCAGCCAGGGCTGCAGAACCACTGACCCCTGAGTTCTGCCACCCCCGCAGACGTACGAGCAGCGGAAAGTGGTGGAGTTCACGTGCCACACGGCCTTCTTCGTGAGCATCGTGGTGGTGCAGTGGGCCGACCTCATCATCTGCAAGACCCGCAGGAACTCCGTCTTCCAGCAGGGCATGAAGTGAGTCTGTCTGTGTGTCTGTCTGTCAGGGGCTCCACTGCAGGATAGGAGGCGAGCCTGCCTGTTGGTCAGTCAGTCTGTGTGTCTGCCTGTCTGTCTCTTTGGGCCCTCTGCTCAGGCTCCACAACAGGGCATGAAGTGAGCCTGTCTGTGTGTGTGTGTGTGTGTGTGTGTGTGTGTGTGTGTATGGGTGTGTGCGCGCTGTCTGGGGTCCCCCACTCAGGCTCTGCTCCTTGTTGGGCCCCTACCTGCCCTGAGGTCCCTCCCAGTCTGGGGCTGCCCAGCTCGTGTGGGGTTTCCCCCCTGGCTTCCAGAGCTGAGCTATTTCTTAGGCTGGTATGTGACTGTGTTTCTAGGAACAAGATCCTGATCTTCGGGCTGTTTGAGGAGACGGCTCTCGCGGCCTTCCTGTCCTACTGTCCCGGCATGGATGTGGCTCTCCGCATGTACCCTCTCAAGTGAGTGACCCACCCCCCACCCCCCGCTGGCCCCTGCAGCGCTCCATGGACCTCCAGCTCCTGTGCCTCTCCAGACCCTACCACACCCCTGTCAGATGCCACCAGGCCTTCCCCAAGGGCCAGCCTCCCAGGGGGCACTCATCGGCACCCATCCCGGGGACTATCTGTGCCCTGCTGGCCCCACACTGACCGACGCTATCCGCTCTCCCTCCGCAGGCCCAGCTGGTGGTTCTGTGCCTTCCCCTACAGCTTCCTCATCTTTGTCTACGATGAGATCCGCAAGCTCATCCTGCGCAGGAACCCCGGGGGTGAGGGGCTCCCGGGGGACCTGAACGGGTGGGGGGAGGGGGGAGGGACAGGGTCGGGGCAGGGGGCCCTGGAGTGGGGAGGAGGAAGAGGATGCTAACCTCACTCTCCCCTGGCCTCTGTCCCGCCTCCGCTCCACCCTGCCCACCCCCTCTCTGTCTCTCTTGGTTTGCCTCTCTCTGGGTCTCCTCTCTGACTGACCTCCCGTCCCCCCCCCTTCCTTTCCAGGCTGGGTGGAGAAAGAGACCTACTACTGACCTCATCCCTGCCACATCGCCGTCTCTTCCTGCACCACCCCCCTGCCCAGGACAGCCCCTTCCAGTGCCCCCCATTTTGTATTCTGGAGGAGGGGCCCTCTCTCCCAGGGCCCCACCTTGGACCCCACCCCTCAAGTGATCTCCTGCCTCTACCCCTGCCTCCCTCTGGCTGGCTTCTCTCCCCGGCCCCTGCCTCCCCTCTCTCTCCCTCTCTCTTCCCTGTGTGTCAGTTTCTCTCTGCTCCTGGTCCTCCTGCCCCCGCCCTTGCCCCTCCATCCCTGGCCCCCCTCCCCCCTGCTCCCTCCCAGAGCTCTTTTTTACTCCCCTGGCCCCTTGGCCGATGCCGTCTCTGATTCTGGACAATTATCCAATACATCCGTGGGCAGAACCAAGCCGTGTGCCGTGTTCGACTTGTTCTCTACCTGGGGGTCTGAACGGGCAGGTGGGTGGCCCCTGTGCTGGTGAGCTGTGGGAGGGTCACCCCCACAGTTGAGCTGGGCACAGACTCTCCAAGTGGTGGGGTTCCAGAGGCTTAGACGATCGTTTCCAAAGTGGGGGCTGCCGGAAGGCGCCAGGGGGCTGCCAAAGCAGATGCCCACACTTTATCCTGGACGATGGGCTGTGTTAAGATTTGTCTGGACAAACAAAGCCAGGCACACTCACCTCGGTGCAAGAAAGAGCTTTGTACCCAGAAGTAATTACATCTCAAAAAGCCAGCCCAGCCTGGTCCAGCCCAAATTGACAAGTCCACCGCTAGTCCATAAGTCCTTCTTCTGACTCTCAAAGTCATGTACGCTGACGCAGAATGGTGAACCAGGAAGATCACGGGCCGGTGGGTGCGGAGTCCGGTGGATCCACAGTTGGTGGAAACACAGCCAGGTGGCGCCTATAGCTCTCAGGTGAGTCCCAGCAAGCAGGAAGTCCCAGCAATCAACCTGACTTGATTGACAGGTTTAACTCCACCCCTAGCCAGCAGCGTCTACTTGGCATAGCCGCTAACCGCCATAGAGGTGGGGGACCCTGGTGGGAGAATGGCTACACATTGGGCTGAGATCCACATGGTCAGCAGTTTGAAACCATCAGCAGCTCCAAGGGAGTGAAATGGGGCTTTTTACTACCGTAAACAGTTACAGTCTTAGAGACCCACCGGGGGCAGGACTCCCTGTGAGTCAGCATGGGCTCAGTGGCCTGAGCTTGGTTTGGGACCACAGGGACAGCACTACAAAAGTGTTTGGTTGCCAAAGGGCTGCTGGGTAATTTTTTTTCCCCCTGAAAGGAGCCAAAGAAAGGTGGGAGCCTGTGATGTAGACACAAATGTTGCCGGAGGGAGAAAAGTGAGTTCATTTGTCAGGGCATGCTGGGATGCTGGAGGTGAAGGCAATCAGACACAGGAATCGGACTCTCGGATCAGATGCTGCGGTCCATGCTGTTGCTGATGGTGACGGAGCCCCCCACTGGGCGCCCTGCTCTCTTCCCTGCACATTAACTCAGGCCTTTCGAGGTGTGAGGCTCAGAGAGGGCAAGTGGCTTACCCAAGGTCACACAGCTGGAAGGAGGCCAGGTTGGGATCTGACCGCAGGCTGTGCAGACTTCCGGTGTCTTTGAGGGGCCACACTGAGGACCTTCCCATGGCCTCTCTCTTTGGGCGTCTGATTAGGAGTGTGTACATCGCTGCTCTCCGCATACCCGATGTTCACGCTCATCTGTTCCACGTGAGGCTCTCCAGGGCAACACCGCCTTCAAAAAGGCTCGGTCCACAGTGAGGTCCCTGTCGGTGACGGGAGCGTGTGGGACAGGGAGGTGGACAGTCTTCCCCATACAATCAAACTGTGCATGCCCAGGACAGCCACTAAGGCTCCTGTTGTGTTGTAACCGGACGCCGGACTTCATGGTGAACCGGGCCTGCAGGGTCATCTTACTTAGCCCTGTAAACCTTACGGAGCACCGAATGTTCATTTGAAATGAGAGCTTAGACTGAGGTCAGAACCAGTGTACAATAGAGTCATCAGAACGCAGCACAGTGTGAAACCTAAGCTTTAACCCTAGCCCCTAACCCTACCCTAACCCTAACCCCTAACCTCTAACCCTAACTCAACCCTAACCCCTAACCCTACCCTAACCTTAACTCCACCCTAGACCCTAACCCTAACTCCACCCTAACCCTAAACCTACCCTAGCCCCTAACCCTAACCCTACCCTAGCCCCTAACCCCTAACCCTAACTGCACCCTAACCCCTAAACCTAACTCTATGTAACCCCTAACCCTACCCCCACCTCCTAACCCTAACTCAACCCTAACCCCTAACCCTAACCCTAACCCTAACTCCACCCTAACCCCTAACCTTAATTCAACCCTAACCCCTAAGCCTAGCTCAACCCTAACCCTAACTCAACCTTAATCCCTAACCCTAAATCAACCCTAGACCCTAACTCCACCCTAATCCTATCCTAACCCTAACTCAACCCTAACCCTAACTCCACCCTAACCCCTAACCCTAACTCAACTCTAACCCCTAACTCAACCCTAACCCTAACTCTACCCTAACCCTTAACCCTAACTCCACCCTAACCCTATCCCTAACCCTACCTTAGACCCTAAGCCTAACCCTAACTCTACCCTAGCCCCTAAGCCTAACTCAACCCTAACCCTACCTTTACCCAACCACCTAACCTTAAACCTAAACCTAATTTCAAAACAAAACTTCATTTCAAACACATGCTTAGCATTAAACCTAAATCACACACCACCGACCCTTAAAGAGAATGTTAACCCTAAATGTAAGCCTAACCCTAACACAAATCAAACTCAAAACTACAGCCTTACCATAACCCTAAACCCAAACCTAACTTTAAACATAAACAAGAATCCTAACCCTTACATTAAAACTATTTCTAACCCTAACCATAAACCTAAATATAACCCTCACCCTAAACCTAAATATACCTATAACTCTGCCTTGTCTATTGGCATATAATTCACATACAATTACATGATTCAGCCGCATCAAGAAGAGTTGTATAATCATCACCACCATCAATTTTATAACATTTTCTCACTCTTGTGTTCATTATTAGCACCCCATTTCCCTCCTAATTTCCCCTACCATGCGCCCAAGGAACCTCTATTCCAGAGTTACCTATCCTGGATTTCACATACAGAAAAACATTTCTTCAAAAGAAACTAACAACATAACAAATTAAAACAGATAAAAACCTCAATCGAAAAGAAAGCAGAAAATATTTAAAATTAGAACAAATTTGAAATGGATCAAAAGGGAGATCACACTTCGATGGCTGCTTGTTGGAAGACAAGTCTTTAAGATATTAGACGCTATTCCTTCTGAAAGTCAGGCACCAACTAGTCTCTTCACCACACTTTGCTGTAGCACCTATATCTTCAGTGATCTCTTCATGAAAGTGGGCATCAAGCAGGGACATGTCATAACTAATTTTTCTTAGATTAGGGCTAGAATTAAGGGTAAGCCTCAAATCCATTCACAGAGCTATGGTTTATATAAGTCTCTGGTTCAGAGATACTTACATGGGTGTAAGAAAGAGCTTTAAATAAAGAGTAATTGTATATTAAGAAAACATCCCAGCCCAGTCCAGATCAAGTCCTTAAGTCTGATAGTACCCCATATGTCCAACAACAGACTGTAAATTCCTCTTCAGACTCACGCAACATATGCAATGACGCAGAATGCAGGAAGATCAGAGGCCAGTGGGTTGAAAGTCTTATGGATCTAGTGGGGGTGGAAGCATCTCAGTGCTGGCATGGGTGTCCGTGTGGCTCCTCCAGCTCCAGGAATCTGACTCTATCAACATGGCTCCATTTGTCTTGTCAGCAGGAAGATGAAGCAAAGAGAGTGTGTGTGTGTGTCTGCCCTCCAGTGAGCTATTTATCTCTGTCGGGCCTCCAAATGAGGTCATCAAGCTGCAACCTCATTGACAGGCTAGACTCCACCCCTTCACAAGTTGACAGTAACTGCTACAGTCAGTAATTAAGACAATGTTGTAGAATTTAAAACATTGGTGAGAAAAAGAATAGTAGGCTAGTTTTGAACCACGATACATGAATGACTGACTTTTACAGATTAAACTCTTAAGTGACTGCGCATTATTTACACAAGAGTGGGGGTTGGTGATAAGGCAAAAGTTTCAATAATATTCACTCGCAACAGCAGATCCACAGATCAATACATGTCATAATGAATCAGCGAGGGGGCATTAAAATAGTTAGGAGGCCCGGGCCACCCTTCACTGGGCACCCTTCAAGGCAAGAGAGTAGCACCAAAGTCAAATGTCCATCAGGTCTAGGACCTTGGGATAGCACCATCTGCTGCTTCTCACACTAGGGAGTTTCAGCCGTAAGTTCAAGGTCTACAGGTGAGTTTGAGGTAAAGCCCAGGTCACTTAGTGGGGTTTCCACATGGAGACCTTCTGGTGTACAAGCCTAAACATTTTTTTAAATCATTTTATTGGGGGCTCCTACAGCTCTTATCACAATCCATCCATCCATCCATTGTCAAGCACATTTGTATATATGTTGCCATCATCATTTTCAAAACATTTTCTTTCTACTTGCTCTCAGCTCATTGCACCCCCACTGACCCTCCTTCCCTAATGAACCCTTAATAATTTATAATTTTTTTCATGTCCTATATCGACCGCTGTCTCCCTTCACCCACTTTTCTGTTGTTTGTTCCCCTGGGAGGGGGTTACATGTAGATCATTGTGATCGGTTCCCCTCTATTCCCCCCACCTTCTCCTTCCCTTCCTGGTATCACTACTCTCATTATTGGTCCTGAGGGGTTTCTCTGTCCTGGATTCCCTGCGTTTCCAGCTCTTATTTATACCAGTGTACATGCTCTGGTCAAGCCAGATTTGTAAGGTAGAATTGGTGTCATGATAGTATGGGGGTGGAGAGCATTAAAGAACCAGAGGAAAGGTGTATGCTTCATCAGTGCTATACTGCACCCTGACTGGCTCGTCTCCTCCTTGTGACCCTTTTGTAATGAGATGTCCAATTGTCTACAAATGGGCTTTGGGTCTTCACTCCACGCTCCCCCTTATGCACATTGATATTTTTTGTTCTGGGTCTTTGATGCCTGATACCTGATCCCATTGACACCTTGTGATCACACAGGCTGGTGGGCTTCTTCCATGTGGGCTTTGTTGCTTCTCAGCTAGATGGCCACTTGTTTGTCTTCAAGCCTGGAAGACCCCAGATGCTATATCTTTTGATAGCTGAGCACCATCAGCTTTCTTCACTACATTTGCTTTTCCACCCATTTGTCTTCAGCGATCCTATTGGAAAGGTGAGTATCACAGAATGCCAGGTTATTAGAACAAAGTGTTCTTGAGGGAGTACTTGAGTAGAAGTTCAATGTCT